CTTAAATTACAATAAAAAAAATAAGAACACCATTAGTTTCTTCTTTCAGTTTTTCTTAAGGATTGTAAAGAGCAGATGGAATCTCTTTTCAGAGGCACAAGCAACATCCCTGCTCAAGACCATCCACTGTTGCACTGGTTTTATCATCATCTTTTTCAGAGAAATCCTCACTAGGTCTTCCACTTTGCGAGTTTGTGTGGCAGGAAAAAGCATGGTATGTCTGCATACTGGCAGAAGTTTAACAATTTGCTTTAATTCCTCTTCAAATCCAACATTCAAGATTCGATCAGCCTCATCACTAACCAAACACTATAGATTTTTTTATACATGAAGCCTGGGTTATTTTGCATATGGTCCAGGTGGCGGCCTGGTGTGGCCACAATGATGTTGATTCCATTAGCAAGTTTCTGTGTTTCAGCAGCTCTTTTACTGGCCCCCATGACAAAGCCACACTTGTGCATCTGGTACGTCACGAGCTCCTAAGAACATCTCACGAGCTCCTAAGAACATCAAAAGTCTTAATGGCCAGTTCTCTAGGAGGTAAGAGAATAAGGACTTCTGTTCCATTCCTTAGCATCAATGTTAACTTAACAGTAAGTTCAACTGCAGGGATGAGAAATGCCAGTGTTTTACCTGTTTTTGCTCTAGAAGATCCTTGCCTACTACAAGTGGTCGGATACTTTTATGCTGAATTTCTGTCATGTTTGTAAAGCCCAAGATTACGTAGAGAAGTAAATGAAGAATCCTCCTGTCGGCCCCATGGGCAGGCTGGGCACTTCACTGTCATCTTCCTCACCATCTGGCTTCTCCACTCTCATTTCTGCTTCTGTAGGAGCGACACCACCCTCTTCAGATTCCTCTTTGCCTTCAGTTTTAACTTTTTTTTGCATCAGGCCCAGGATATTCGCATTTTTCTCTTTTAGTTCTGAATTGGGAAGCTGTGTTAATTGCTTCCCCATTGGCCAAAATGGCAGATTTCTTGGGGGCTTTAAAAATGTTTATATTTCCCAATGCTTTTTTAGATATATCTCCATCTTGAGCTCCTGACAATCCTACATTTATAAACTGCTTCAGGGAATTTTTTTTATCTTTCCCACCTCCCAGTGTTTCTTCAGGCACATTTCCATTTTGGGCTTCTGATAGGCACACACCACACCCTCTGTAGCCTGAGAACCAGTTTGCTGCCTCAACTTCAGGTTCTGCTTCTCCGTCTTCTTGCGTGGGAGTTTCATGGGCAGGTGAGACATGATGCTGGAGGACTGCGATCACACGGAACGCCTGGCTCCTCCATTCTTAGCACTGTGGCCTCTTCATTCTTATTCCTGTGTACAGACCTTGGTGGTATTAGGAACGGTCAGTGCAGGGCTTCAAATGGGTTTACATTGTCTCGACCCCTGGAATCTACATTTTAACCAGATCCACAGGGGATTCTTATGTGTACATAAAGGATCTATGTATCATGCACAGTAGGTAATCGATAAGAATCACCTGGTTAAAATGTAGATCAATTCAGTATGTCTGGGGTGGAAAAAGCAAATTCTCAGCAGGGGATTGAACTGGTTTGGAGCCCTGCTTCTGTGTTACTGACATCCTGGGTGAGCTCCCTAATTTTGTTTTGCTCTATTTTGATGATGATCAGGTGTGATTTAAAACACAATGAGGCCATTCTTTAGAGCAGGGGTGGAGGAAACTTTTTTCTGCCAAAATGTATAATATTGCAGGCCATACAAAATTACCAAATTAAAAATTAACATGCTGTATTTGATCAAACAGCTAATTAACTTTTCCTTAATGTCATGACTGGACCTGTGGCTGCCTTGGCAGGGTCAGATCAAATGATTTCTTGGGCTTTATGAGGCCTGTGGGCCAGACATTTCCCACCCCTACTTTAGAGGAAGAAACTGCTCTGAGGACCAATGTGAGGATTTGCTTAAAGGAAATAATCTAAGTGCTGTTGCTGTTAAGTGCAATTGAGTCCGTTCTGACTCACAGTGACCCTGTACAAGGTATCCAAGGGCGGCTGGTGAGTTTGAATCACTGACACTGCAGTTCAAACAGACCTTGTGGTCCAGTGCTTAACCTATAGCTTCTGGCCCTAAAAAGTACTGATAAACGGCAGCTGTTCCTAACTAACACAAAGCACTCATCATGCACCAGACACTGTATCTCTACATTCTGTAAAGAATGTGAAACATCTCGAAGTTAAGTGACTTGCTCAGAAGTATCAGAGCCAGTTCTTCCCAACATAAGAAACCCAAACCAGTTACCCCTGAATTGATTCGGAGTCAGGGCCACCCCATGTGTGTCAAGATAGAAATGCATTCCATTAGATTTTCAGTGGCTGTGACAGCTCAACAGCAGATCACCAGACCTTTCTTCTGAGGTACCGCTGTGTAGACTCAACCCACCAACCGACTTTTAAAGCAATTAGCACCTGAGTGTGTTAATCATTTGTACCACTCAGCAACACCAGATCGTGCCCAGCCCCTGTCTTTTGACACAGATCCCACCACATAGAGGGATTGTTCACATACTGCATCACAGGGCAAGCAGCCACTCACTATTCCAGAAAAGACTTCACCTGCTGCTATCTTGTGTTCTCACGTAGAAAAACAGCTCTGAATTTATCGGGACACAGGCAGAAAGCATATATCCCACACTGCACTGGCCCCATCTGGTCTCTGTGTGTGTATATATATATGTGTGTGTGTATATATGTGTGTGTGTGTGTGTATATATATATTGTTAAGTGCCGTTGAGTCAGTTCCGACCCATAGCGACCCTGTTCAGGGTTTCCAAGGGTGTAAATCTTTGCGGGAGTAGAAAGCCTCATCTTTCTCCCGTGGAGCAGCTGGTAGGTTTGAACCACTGACCTTAAGGTTCACAGCCCGATTCGTAACCACTACGCTACCAGAGCTCCATATATATATATATATATAAAATATGTGTGTGTGTGTGTGTGTATGATAATTATATAACAAGGCATTTGACACCTCAACAACCTTCATATGTACAGTTCAGTGACATTAATCAGGGTCATCATGCTGAGGTTAGCACATCTTGAGTTTCCTCTGCCATTGGGAGGAACAGGAAAAGTGTGCAGATTAAAAAGGCCCACCTCCCTTGTATAATGCTGAAAATACCCCAAACCACTGCACTATGTATTTTAAATGTGTGAATTGGATGGTGTATAAATTCCATCTTAATAAAGCTATCATAAAGAGTTCACTCTCCTGGCACCTCTGGTAAAAGTTCCTTTAATAAAAAAAGTTTGGATACATTTAGACGATTCTCATCACCCTTCATCTACACACAACAGGGAAAGTTTTTTAAAAAAAAGGGCAACCCAAACACGCTCAGTAGAAAATCACAGGGATCCAAGTGAAATGGGAGGCCTGGGGGTTGGGGATCAGAGAGGGAGGCAGGGATTCCAGAAGTGGGCCTAGAAGCTTTGGGCTGGGTTTCTAGGGACCCAAGGGGATGGCTGAGGACCTGCCTCTAACTTTTCAAAATTAGTATTTAAAAAAAAAAAAATGAAATCAGGGTGCAAGAGGAGGTCTCTTTGTGAGGAGAAGGGTCTGTTTCAGAGAAAGTCATCACAGGGGGCCGGAGCCTGCCCAAGATACAGGGCTGAGCATTTTATGGCATGAGAGAAACCCTAAGAAATTCGACCTCCAGGACAACCCTGACCTAGGCTGAGAGGTTTTCAGTGTTCTGGTCAACCTGCCCGCACTCCTCCCTCCTGAAAGGTTAGACACTAGCTCCCTTATAGGCAAACTCACCCAACTCACCCTTCCTAGTTGCTAAGGCCACTTCTTGACAAGCTCCAAAGTCCGTGGCTGAAGGGGGACCCGGGACCCCTTGGAGGAGGTTGCTGTGGCCTGAGGTTTAGTTCCTGACCCTCCTAGTAGCAGGGCAGCCTAGTCGTCCTCGCCACCCCCGTACATGTCCGCCAGCTTCTTGAAGCGGCTGCCCCACTCATTCAGGTAATTGTAATCCTGGTCCTGGTCAGAGGCTGAGGAGGTGAGGGAGCTCAGGGAGGCGGCATCAGAGCCACTGCCTTCATAGTCAAACACTAACAGGGAGTCGTAGGGTGGAGCCGTGGGGTCGTTGTTGGCCGTTTTCAGGTTCTGTGGCAAAAGAGAAACCCGATTAGAAAACTGAGACTCTGACACTTAAGCAGCTGTGAGCGTGTGGACAAGATGATCAAGCTCACTGTGCCTCCACCTTCTCATCATTGAGGCCATCTCTCCATCCTGTAAGGTTTCAAAATGTTCACAGAAAATGCAAATTAAAAAAGAATGGAATTTTCAATGAACTTTTTATATGTATATAAATTACTGGTGCATAGACACTGACAATAACAGGTGTGTCAGAGTAAAACAGTGCTTCATAGGGCTTTCAAGGGTTGAGTTTTTGTCCAGAAGTGGATCCTCAGATCTTCCTTCTGAGGTAAACTCCAATCTCCAACCTTTTGGTTAGCACCCACAAAAACTCCAGAGGTGCACATAATGCACTAGCCCATGGCTAGCGCTCAATGTGATCTAGTATGCAGACAAGGGTGGGACTCTGAAATCAGACAGCCTGAGTTAGAACTCAGAGGCCATGTACTAGTTTTGTGACCCTGGGCGAGTCCCTTACCCTTTCTGTTTCTGTTTCTTCATCTGTAGTTAGGTGACAATTCACACAGTTTTATAGAGGAGTAAAGGAATATATGCAAATGTATGTGAATCGCTTGTTACAACTGCTGTTATTGTTAGGTGCTATTGAGTTGGTTCTGACCCATAGTGACCCTCTGCACAACAGAACACAACACTGTGTGGACCTGCATTGTCCTCACAATTGTTATGTTTGAGCCATTTGTTGTTGTCACTGTGTCAACCCATCTTCTTGGGGGACTTCCTCTTTTTCTCTGACCTTCCACTTTACCAAGCATGATGTCCTTCTTCCGATAACATGTCCAAAGGACAAGACACAAAGTCTCATGTCACCATCTGTGTTTCGAAAGAGCATTCTAGCTGTACTTCTTCCATACAGACTTGTTGGTTCTTCTGGCAGTTCACAGTACTTTCAATATTCTTGCCATCATCATAATTCAAATGCATTTATTCTTCTCCTGTCTTCTTACTCATGGCCCAACTTTCACATGCATATGAGGTGATTGAAAATAGATTGGGTCAGGTACACCTCATCCTCAAAGGAACATCTTTGCTCTTTAACACTTTAAAGCAAACTTTTGTAGCAGATTTGCCCAGTGCCATACTTATTACAATAATACGTGGCCTATACCCAGAACCATCCAGTTGATTCTGACTCGGTGACCCCACAGGACAGAGGATAACTGCTCAAGTCTTCTGAGACTGTGAATCTTTACAGAAGCACAGTCTCATCTTTCTCCCTCAGAGCAGCTAGTATTGGGTTTGAACTGCCAACCTCGCGGTTAGCAGCCCATCCCTAATCCTAAATTGATGTTGTTGTTAAGTGCTGCCCAAGTCGGTCTGACTCCTAGTGACCCTGTACAGGGTTTCAAGGAGCAGTGGATGGGTTTGAACCGCTAACTTTGTGTTAAGCAGCTCAATACTTATCCTACAGCACCTCACCAGGACTCCACCTGGCATATAGCCTAATGCTATTTTCTCATTTCTAAAATAAAGAAAAGGGCATCAAGCTGGGCCTAGTGGATAGTCAACAAACAAGAGGAGGATGCCTTCAGTGAGACGGA